ACAAGAGTTATGTTGTCGGTACGTTTTATCGTGTAAATACTAGTTCCCACTACTGGGGAATCAATAGGCTTAGCGATAGATACTAATATTAAGACTATAGTACTTGGGGACTTCAATGCTAATTCGTTGAATAGAATAGATCCTAACATTGAACGTATTAAGACAATTTATGGCATGACGCAACTGATAAATGAGGCGACACGTATTACTCAACAATCGAGAACACTTATTGACCTAATATTTGTATCGTGTCCTGATATTGTAAATTCCTCGGATGTTACTCCCCCATTCTGCAGTGACCATTCTTCAGTTAGCGTGTCGCTGAAATCTATTAAACAGATGAAAGAAGCCTATTCAAGATTCATTTATAATTACGATAATATTGATATAAATTCCTTTCGGCAAAATGTGGCTGATGTTAATTGGGATTTTCCTACACAAAATGATGATGTTGATGCCATTGCTTCAAAATTTGTTAATACATTAACGGACTTATGTAAATCAAATATTCGAAATAAAACTGTTGTGATTCGTCCAAATGATGCTCCGTGGATGAACGGATTTATAAGAAAACTTATGCGTAAGAAAAATAGAATTCATAGAAAGGCTAAACGTAGTAACTTGCCTAATGATTGGGAAAAATTTAGAAAAAGTCGAAATAAGCTTATCTCAGAGATACGTAAAAGTAAGTCATTGTATGTTGAAAAACTTGATAATGTTGTCAATACAGAACATGGTAGTAAATCTTGGTGGCGGATTGTTAAACATTATCTTAAGAAAACAGATAAAGCTAAGATATTTCCACACATTGAACACAATGGTGTTGTTTATGAAGATGATATTGAGAAAGCAAATATTTTTAATGAAAACTTTGTGAGTATGGCAGCGGTTAACAGTTCTTCTGATGATGTTAATGTATATTCTGATATTAACGTGGAAAATTGTTTCACTGATATAAGATTACAAAGCGTTGAAGTAAGGGATATTTTACTGTCGCTTGATGTCACTAAAGCAACTGGTCCAGATCATCTTAGCAATCGTGTCTTAAAATGTTTAGCTGAACAATTGTCCATTCCACTTTGTAACCTGTTTGATATTTCTTTGTCCTCTTCTCAATTTCCAGATATATGGAAATGTTCATCCGTTGTTCCAATTTATAAGAAACATAATGTTCATGATTGTACTAATTATCGACCGGTCTCACTTACTAGTTGTCTTTCAAAAGTATTTGAGAAGTGTGTTTTTGAATATGTGTCAATTTTGTTTCTAGATAATGGAACTATTACTTCATTACAGTCAGGTTTCACGACTGGTGATTCTACATCATACCAGCTCACTCATTTGTATGACTATATAGCTAAGGCGATGGATAGTGGCAAGGAGGTACGCACTGTATTCTGCGATTTAAGTAAAGCGTTTGATAGGGTTTGGCACAAGGGTCTTTTGCATAAGTTATGGGCTAGTGGAATTCGCGGATCTCTTTTATTATGGTTTGAAAGTTATCTAAATAATAGAGAACAGTTTACAGTAATAAATGGGTATAAGTCAAATGTTAAATCAATTGAAGCTGGCGTCCCCCAGGGATCAGTCCTAGGACCTTTACTCTTTTTGGTTTATATCAATGATATTGTTGAAGATATACAGAGTAATATTCAATTATTTGCCGATGATACATCCATATATGTGATAATTGATGACCCTATGGTATCTTCCAATATGTTAAACGATGATTTAGAAATAATAGCCAAATGGGCCCAGACATGGAAAGTAAACTTTAATCCCAATAAAACTGAATCTATCATTTTTTCTAGAAAAAAAACAGTAACATCAATGCCAGATCTTATAATGAATGATATACCGATAAAGTCTGTTGACACTCATAAACATCTGGGGCTGACTTTACAAAGTGATGGCCACTGGAATATACATATAGATGATATTATTTCTAAAGTCAGTCCTATGATCAATTGTTTAAGAAGTCTGAAATACCGCCTTCAGAGGAAAACCCTCCAAACCCTGTATAGTTAATTTGTTTTACCACTTTTTGACTATTGTGATTATATTTGGAACTACTGTACACAAACTCAAGAGTTATTGTTAGAAAAACTTCACTTAGATGCTTTAAGAACCATATGTGGATCAGTTAGAGGAGTTTGTCATTCCAAAATCCACCATGAAACTGGTTTTTCATCATTAAGGGAACGTCGTAAAAATCACCAAATGTATGTACTTCGTACAATGTTCCATAATAAAACTCCAAAGTATTTATCAGATCTAATTCCAATAAACATATCCTCTGTATCCACATATGGATCTAGATCTAGTAATATGCTTCAAGTACCATTATTGCGTACGGAAACATATAAAAAATCTTTTTTACCATCCTCTGTGATGGAGTGGAACAAGTTAGATAATGATATAAGAAACATAGATTCCGTTGCCATGTTCAAGAAACACATCGAACTGTCTCATCCAACGTACATCATGTCTTCAGAAACACTGGTAATAAATTTAATCAAATAATTCATTGTAAGTTAAGACTTGGCTGTAGTGATTTAAACGCACATAAATTTGACCGTTTTCTTCAAAATACGTCTACTTGCACTTGTGGCAATCATTATGAAGATGCAATTCATTTTCTATTTATTTGTCCAAAATTTAATACAATTCGATCGAAGTGTTTCTATTACATAAATGGTTTTAATATTCAATCTGTACTATGTGGAACTTACTCATATTCTGACGAAATCAATGAAAATATTGTAAAATCTGTACATGACTATTTTACCTTAACAAAACGATTTTTTACCTAATTGATTAATTATACTACTGTCTTTTTCATTAAGTCTTTTACTCCTCAAATGGTGTGTTCTCTTGTCTGTAATGATGAATGTATATAAAATGTTTCTCATCGCATTGTATTTGGAGAGGTATTTTTATAGGCTTATAGCCTGTTTACCAATCCGTTCATTTAACAATGAATAAATATTGTTTAAATCATGCTGCCTGGAAGGATGAAATTAAAGGTTGTTATTGCTGCGCTTAGCCTTGGTATTGTTTTTAATTCCACCTGGTGTGAAGGCGAGCTCAATTTTGTTATGTTTGTACCTAGTTTGATGCTGTCCGGAAGGATGAATAAAACGTTTTCATCGCTGCGTTTAGCCTTGGTATTGTCTTTATTTCCATGTGGAGAGAAAACGGAGACACGGTTTTTGTGATATTTACTTCTTATTGTTTGTTACTAAAGGTTACCTTCACACAATTACATTCCTAAAGTAGATTCAGGGTGAGTTCTTACTCACAACATTGTCTTCAATTTAGCCTTGATTGGTGTCATGTTTGCAGAAGCACTTGTTTGGGTGGGGCCCACAAGCTTTGCTGTGATGTTTTGATTGTAATGCCTAATCCGAGAGTTTCTGAGTGAGACATGGAAGCCAACCAAGTGGCGGGAATTACGACTGAAAGCGCCAATCGTTGATTGGTTGTTTAATGCACAGATCAGACCCCTTGTGATATCAAATCTGAGCTGTTTTGGCTCCCGTCACACGCATGGGGCTTAGCTTCGGGTGGCTTTAAGGGTGTGAAAACGTGACGACACCCGCACGTGAGTGAGTGAGTGAGTGAGTGAGTGAGTGAGTGAGTGAGTGAGTGAGTGAGTGAGTGAGTGAGTGAGTGAGTGAGTGAGTGAGTGAGTGAGTGAGTGAGTGAGTGAGTGAGTGAGTGAGTGAGAGGAGTGAGTGAGTGAGGAGTGAGTGAGTGAGTGAGTGAGTGAGTGAGTGAGTGAGTGAGTGAGTGAGTGAGTGAGTGAGTGAGTGAGTGAGTGAGTGAGTGAGTGAGTGAGTGAGTGAGTGAGTGAGTGAGTGAGTGAGTGAGTGAGTGAGTGAGTGAGTGAGTGAGTGAGTGAGTGAGTGAGTGAGTGAGTGAGTGAGTGTGGTTTTGCGCCACTTATAGCAATATACCAGCAATATTTCGGTGGGGATAAACCAGAAATGGGCTCCACACATTGTACCCATGTGAGGAATGTAACCTGAGTCTTCAGCGTGAGCGAACGCTTTAACCTTAAGGCTACCCCCAACCTCCACCCACCCCCAACCCCATCCACCGCATCGTAGCTCTGTGGAGCTCATGTCCAAGTTCGTCGTTCTGACACCCCTTCTCTCTCTTTTACCGATTTTTCAGATGAAGCCTCTCTCTCCCTGTCTTTGTCTGTCTTTGTCTGTCTGTCTGTCTGTCCCCTTCTGTCTGTCCCCACACACCCACATAGCCCCCACCCCTCAGCCCCCCAAAACAGGCTTGTGAGTCAGTCGTCGCCCTTGGTCGACGAGATAGACGCCTGTCATCAACGTTATTTGTCTGTCGATATCGTGAATGTAAACTGCTACTTACTGACTGTTAGCTCGTAGGTATATGTTAAAGTCCAACGGGAAGTGACCCGCTTTTTCTCGGGAAATATTGTCGAGCGAAACTAAATATTGTGACGCTTCAAAAACAAGTGTCAAAGTACGTGATGTCTCAGCATGAACCTGTCACGCTAGTAGTAATGACCCTGGCTCACATTTTGTTTTGGGGCTTGTATGTGTGTGGTATGTATCTGTCAACTGACAAGAACCGTGCATTATACTGAGCTTTACATGACGTTTTATAAGTGACTAGCTCTTTTTCCAAAATTATTATTGAGCGAAACTAAATACTTTGACGCTTTCTGTTTCTGGCTTAAATTATGTGTGGGGGAAGGTAGGGGGTGTATATCTGTGTGGTATGTATCTGTCAACTATTATTATATTGAGCTGACTTCAATAATTTGCTTGAATAATTGTCAACTGTTAACCTTGTTTTAATGACGAATACTTGTTTTATGTGCAGGTCTAGCCTCCATGACAACTGGATACCCACACACTGTTACACGTGTTGGCGACGATGTTAACATAACCATGAACCCAGCGAATGTTAGCTTCACATACTACGTATGGGTGAATGGTTCGGTAGCTGTGAGACTGTTAATGGTCCAGCCTAAGTCACACCGTGTATGGGTACTTAACAATAGTCACACCGGCTACAGGACCAGGATCAGATACACCGGGGAGGACTCGCCATCACAGACAGGAGAGCTGAGGTTTACCATCTACAATGTTACTGTACAGGACGCTGGTACTTACTACTGTCAAGGAAACAATGGGCAGACAGTTACTGGATGTAGACAGGTCCTCGTTGTAACACGTGAGTAGAATATGGAATTAACAGACTATTATTTGAAGAATAAAGTTGGACTGTCTTAATGTATCTCCAACATAAATAAATAGCTGGTCAATCATATTCTATTGCAGTAGAAGAACTTTAGGTGAGGTGAAATGGTGTGTTAGTGTTAGTGATAGTGTTAGTGATAGTGTAAGTGTTAGTGTTAGTGTTAGTGTTAGTGTTAGTGTTAGTGTTAGTGATAGTGATAGTGTTAGTGTTAGTGTTAGTGTTAGTGTTAGTGTTAGTGTTAGTGTTAGTGATAGTCATAGTGTTAGTGTTAGTGTTAGTGTTAGTGTTAGTGTTAGTGTTAGTGATAGTCATAGTGTTAGTGTTAGTGTTAGTGTTAGTGTTAGTGTTAGTGATAGTGATAGTGTTAGTGTTAGTGATAGTGATAGTGATAGTGATAGTGATAGTGATAGTGTTAGTGTTAGTGTTAGTGATAGTCATAGTGTTAGTGTTAGTGTTAGTGTTAGTGTTAGTGTTAGTGTTAGTGTTAGTGTTAGTGATAGTGATAGTGATAGTGATAGTGATAGTGATAGTGTTAGTGTTAGTGTTAGTGTTAGTGTTAGTGTTAGTGTTAGTGTTAGTGTTAGTGTTAGTGTTAGTGTTAGTGTTAGTGTTAGTGTTAGTGTTAGTGTTAGTGATAGTGTTAGTGTTAGTGATAGTGTTAGTGTTAGTGTTAGTGTTAGTGTTAGTGATAGTGTTAGTGTTAGTGTTAGTGTTAGTGTTAGTGATAGTGTTAGTGATAGTGTTAGTGATAGTGTTAGTGATAGTGTTAGTGATAGTGATAGTGATAGTGTTAGTGTTAGTGTTAGTGTTAGTGTTAGTGTTAGTGTTAGTGTTAGTGTTAGTGATAGTGTTAGTGTTAGTGTTAGTGATAGTGTTAGTGATAGTGTTAGTGGTGTGGGGTGTGGCCAGGGCCCAGATGTTAGTGTCCATACCATCAATAATCACTCATTTTTATTTTGGAATGTCAACGGACTCACTTCTAAATCATCGGATGCTGACTTTGTGAGCTATGCTGAAACATTCGATGTAATTGACATGTGTGAGACGTGGAATACCAAAGAGAACCATGATATGTTCTCGGATGAGTTCATGTGCTACAGTCTAGATGCAGTTCGAATCTCTGCTCATGGCAGATTATCAGGTGAATATTAGTGCTTGTAAAGAAGTCATTGGTACAGTACGTTAAAATGTCTAAGATTACTCCAAATTGTGTATTCCCGTTGTTCGACAACGTGTTTTTTAATTCAGAAAAAGATGTGTTGTTTTTCGTGTTGTGTATATTTTCACCCTGAGACATCTCCATGGTACGTTCATAATAACGTACATTGTGGTATATCCTTGCTACAAGACTCACTAACTGATGTCCTACAAGAGCTGGGTAACATCTCACTTGTGATTGGTGGTGACTTCAACGCAAGAACCGGCACTAACCCGGACTATGTAGAGGACGATAAAATATCTACTCTAAAGACGGACTACTGCGAATTCTTACACGATAATATTCAACATAGACGGTACTCATGTGACAATTTTGTTTCAAACTATGGTAAAAAATTATTGGAATTATGCGCAAGTTTGAATATCTCAATTTTTAACGGCAGAACTGGAAATGATAAATTAATTGGTGACTCCACGTATATCTCATCAAACGGAACAAGTGTGATAGACTATGTTATCGGATCGAGTGACTTGTTTACGTTGTGCAGCGGATTCGATATCGGATGTAGGCCAGAGTCTCCACATCTGCCAATCACTTGTGCATTTCAGTCACGTGGTGACATTGACAACCACAAGGAAGCACGTGCACGCGATTCACACTCTGGACAGAACTCCAGGTTCAAGTGGACTGATGACTGTGTAAACGAATTCCGTGCTAATCTGCTTTCACCTGATGTAACAAAGACTCTAGACGATTGTGCTTGCCAAGCTATCTATGATGTAAATCAATCAGTTGAATCGTTTACTAATGCCTTACTCAAGGCTGCTGACTTTACAAAGAAACGCTGCAACAACTATACTAAATCTAACCAGCCATGGTTTGATTACGAATGTAATTTCCTTAGATTAGAAACCCAAAGATTGTTAAAAATATTTAGAAGGATTAAATCTGACATATCCCGACAATCATATGTCGATTGCAGAAACAAGTACAATGATACTTTACGAAACAAGAAAAGACTCTACAATATGTCAATAAAGGGCAAATTACTACAGAATATCTATAATGCAAAAATATTCTGGAATACGCTTAAAACATATACAGCCCCCAGAGCGAAAATGAGCAATGTTGATATTGATGTATGGTTTTCCTATTTTAAGAACTTGTATCAAGACAAAAGCACTGTGTCTGATCATGCCGAGCCCCATATTAGTGAATGTGATTTTGATTATGACGTTGATGACATAACATGTACTATATTAGATTCACCCATTACTAGGGACGAAATATCTGAGGCTATTCTTAAACTTAAATCTTCAAAGTCGCCTGGTGAAGGTAATTTATTGCCGGAGTTTTTTAAGCATTCAATGGATATTTTATTACCGTATATGGAGCTATTGTTCAATATTATGTTCAAGTCCTACCCTTTCCAGACAGCTGGAGTACAGCAATTATTGTACCTTTATTTAAGAAGGGTGATCGTAATGATCCAAATAATTACAGGGGAATATCCCTTCTTAGTACTTTCAGTAAAATATATACATCTGTACTTAACAATAGAATACATATTGGGCAAATACATACGAAAAGGGTGTGGAATCACAAGCAGGGTTTAGGGAAGGTTATAGTACAATTGATAATATTTTTATTCTACAATCTGTTATCCAACGTTATCTATGTAAGAAAAAGGGGAAGTTCTATGCTATATTTGAGGATTTCAAAAAGGCTTTTGATTTTGTTAACAGGGATAAACCATTGGCCATTCTCAAATATAGAGGCGTTTCACCTAAGATGCTTAAAGCCTTAACTTCAATCTATAAGTGTGTTAAGGGACAGGTGCGTGATATATCTCTCTCTCAGTTGTTTGATTGCCCACAGGGTTTGCGACAAGGGTGTGTTTTAAGCCCGCTATTGTTCTCATTCTTTATCAATGAATTAGCTCAAGAAATTCAATCCACATGTTACCCAGGTGTACAGCTCCACCATGATGTTGTACAAATGTTCCTACTACTTTTTGCTGATGATATTGTACTTTTTGCAGACTCTGTATTTGGTTTACAAAAACGTATAAATATTGTAGAAAGTTTCTGTAAAAGTCATCAGTTAACTGTTAACTTGGAAAAAACAAGATTGTTATATTTAAAAATGGTTGTAAATAATCAAAATATGAAAAATGGCATTTCAATGGAATTCTTTTGGAAACTGTTTCATCTTACAAATATTTGGGTATTTTATTTGCACGTTCTCTATCTTGGTCTCCCCATTTGCAAGCTAAGAAAATTGCATATGACATTCTAAAATCTCTTTATACGTTTAATCCACTTCCTTATGATATATTTTTTAAGATATTTGATACAAAAATTAGTCCGATTCTTTTATATTGAGCTGAAATATGGGGAGTTGATAACTTTAAAGAAGTCGAAGTTTTACATATGTTTTGTTGTAAACGTGTTTTAAATGTCAAACGGTCGACTTCGAACCATGTAGTTAGGGGAGAATGTGGCCGTTATCCAATGTATATATGTATATATAAAAAAGTTGTTAAATATTGGTGTAAAATATGCAAAATGCCCGATTCCAGATTTGTAAAGAAATGTTATAACATGTTAGTTTTAGACTCTGTAAATGGTAAAACAAACTGGGCATCAAAAATTAAGAATATTCTTTACTCTTTTGGATTTGGCTTTATGTGGGAACAGCAGCAAAATTTATGTAACGTCGATAAATTCATATCAGAATTTGTTTTTAGATTAAGAGCAAGTTATGAACAAGAATGGCACACATCGCTTGTAAATAGTCCTAAATTTTCACTTTATTCTTGTTTTAAATGTTGAATTTTACATAAAAGATTTATCAATTTCAAAATTCCGATCGGCCCTTGCTAAATTCAGATGTTCTTCACACCGCCTCCAAATTGAAACCAGTCGATATATTAATCAACCCAGATCAAATAGATTATGTTTTGTATGTAAAGATAACTTTATTGAAAATGAATTTCATTTTATTTTGGTATGTAAATGTTATCAAAATCTGAGATGTTTGTATTTACCACATAACTTTTATTCGAATCCCACTATTCATAAGTTTAATATGCTCATGTCAACTGGCAATCCATATACTGTAAAAAACCTAACTATTTATATACACAATGCAATGAAACTTAGAGATTCACTTCTATGCCAATTATATCATATTTCCTTTTGCATACTCTGTAAATTAACTTATTGTCTTCTGTACTATATATGCACATATGTACCGCTCTGAAATCCTGAAGTGTAGCCTGGGCCTATGGCCTCCACTACAAAGAAAATAAAGACTGATTGTATAGTGTTAGTGATAGTGATAGTGATAGTGATAGTGATAGTGATAGTGATAGTGATAGTGATAGTGATAGTTATAGTGATAGTGTTAGTGTTAGTGTTAGTGTTAGTGATAGTGATAGTGATAGTGATAGTGTTAGTGTTAATGATAGTGTTAGTGATAGTGATAGTGATAGTGTTAGTCTTAGCGTTAGTGTTAATGATAGTGTTAGTGATAGTGTTAGTGATAGTGTTAGTGTTAGTGATAGTGATAGTGTTAGTGATAGTGATAGTGTTAGTGTTAGTGATAGTGATAGTGATAGTGTTAGTGTTAGTGTTAGTGTTAGTGTTAGTGTTAGTGATAGTGTTAGTGTTAGTGTTAGTGATAGTGATAGTGTTAGTGATAGTGTTAGTGTTAGTGATAGTGATAGTGTTAGTGTCAGTGATAGTGTTAGTGATAGTGATAGTGATAGTGTTAGTCTTAGCGTTAGTGTTAATGATAGTGTTAGTGATAGTTTTAGTGTTAGTGATAGTGTTAGTGTTAGTGATAGTGATAGTGTTAGTGATAGTGATAGTGATAGTGATAGTGATAGTGATAGTGTTAGTGTTAGTGTTAGTGTTAGTGATAGTGTTAGTGTTAGTGTTTGTGATAGTGTTAGTGATAATGATAGTGTTAGTGTTAGTGATAGTGTTAGATTATTGTATATATGGCGACATGGATCCGATATGTATGTGTGTATGTGCGTGCATGAGTGAGTGCGTGTGTATATATGTGTTTGTGTTTATGTGTGTGTGTGTGTTGTATGCATGTGTGTATGTGAACTATGCTTATTCTTCTGTACTTACAGACAAAGCAGCAATGTCGCAGTTTAACATGCAGGAGTGTATCAGAGTCAATCAGTCTTGCATCTTTTAGCCCAATTTGTTTTAATGCACCTGGTATTGAAACCGTCGACCCTCCTCTCTGTGGAAAGTACATTTAACTTGTTTCAGTAGAGGCAGCCTGTAGTTGTGTGGTTACTATCATGATGAATAATATATAAATACAAATATGAAAGCTTTCAGCAAAATCTTGTTCAATGGCACTCGTGTTACGGCCTGAGCCCATTTGTTATATTTGTTCACAGAGCAGCCAACCAGACCTACCATCACCGAACCTGCCTCACCTGTATCAGGTGAGAATGTCACCCTGACATGCTACTCCTTCTCCCGGAGTCTGCCCCCGGACCATCCCCCACTGACCATGACCTACATCTGGAGGAGGAACAGGACCCGGGTAGAATCTGGCGATTGGTCTCCTACAGGTGGAGATGACCTGACCATAACCCACATCAGCAGAGAGAACCATGGAGACATCTACAGCTGCCAGGCCGTGGAGGGGGGGCTGAAGTCTAACTGGAGTCACAGACATGTACTGGATGTTCTCTGTGAGTAAGAACTTACTTTGTTTACGGTATAGGAACCTCGTGTATCTTATCTTTGAAACTGTGCTTGTGAGTGATAGTTTTCTCACAAACTTCTATGCTGAAGTACTCTGCTCTGTGTAAACGGAACAGAAATTATTATTGTGAAAGTTCGAATAGGAAATATAGGCAGGTCTGATTTAATGATCCATTCAAAGTTTTAGAGTTTCAGAGGCTATCGAAAATGCTTCTATTTTCACGGCATTGTAAGCTCACCTGGATATGTTGTCAAGAGTTGTACATAGCAACAAAGTGGGTGAGTGAGTTACAACGGTGTTCCAGTCGTAGCCTATACTGTGTGGGAGGAAAGCATAAACTGATATGGGTCTGAGACGTTTACCATTTTGTGAATCCCAAGACCACTAGCTAAGCCAAACAACATGTCTTCATTCACCGAAGCAAACTGCACTTATATCTCAGAATAGCTTCTTAGCTGACCATCTCACATGCATTCCAGATGGACCTGGTCAGATACAGTTTAACGGCACAAGTGACAAGCTGGAGGTAGAAGAAGGGGAAACCTGCAGCTGTGAGATGTTCTGCTGACTGTAACCCTGCCTGTACTGTAACCTGGTGGGACATCTCCAGACAGATGGTGATTAGAGGACAGGGGGGAGGCTGTGTTGTCTATACCAGCTGTAGATGTACCTGTGTCTGGACTGTACACGTGTCACGTCAACAACACACATTGGAGTGCATCACGGAACCTGACGCTGGAGGTCTCCTGTAAGTCAACACTTCAGTAACAGAATCTGTTATATACAACCTATTTTGGGGGGATGACGCCTGTTGGGACGGCCCCCTTTTCGTACTGCTGGAACACCTGCTAGAACACCGAAAGTAATGGCACCCAAAGATTAAAAATAACCAAAGACCCATTAGATGTCACCATTTCAAACCATAATATTGATGAAGAATTTAATTTTCACTATGATCTGATGGCAAATATCACTCCAATGATTCTTAACTTTCAGATTCTCCAAAAATCCCAAATGTTTCCGTTAATTCGAAAAAAATCAATTAGAAACCCAGCCCTACAGAATACAGTGCTCCTGAAACTCTATTTATATGAGGAATATAATTTGACACTTTTCGTTACATATTTCCGTTTCTTCACCCTGCACAAATGAGAACACTGCTGTTACCGACATTGCATGTCCTTCTGTGGAGCTGATGTTGATAATGACGTTGTTGTTGGGGATGTACAGCGTACCTCATCAATCACTTACAAAGCGTAGCACGGAGAGGTTATTTCAAATGAACATCGCAAGTGTCAACCCATTTAATATGTTTTGAATCGTGTTAAAACCTCCCAAAGAGGCTTGATGTTACTTGATTATACTCGTATGCATACTGAACTGAATATTGTTCATATTAAATGTTTCAGCACGTGGAGTTACTGAATCTGGTGTCGTTTCCATCGTCCCCTTGGCTGCTGTCTGTTCCGTCCTGATCGTGGTCATCGCCGTTGTCGTCATCGTTGTTGTTTGTAGAAAACAGAGACGTGGAGGTAATACGGTGTGATGTGAGAGTGAATGACGATAACCCGAGAGTCACGTAAAGTTGTCTCTCTCAGAAGCACCCCTTTTCGCACTGTAGTTCAGCAATTACAAATACTGATCTCACTAAATATAGCGTGTTGCGGTTCATATATTAACTACATGCTCATGTTTACATCACGTAATCGATGTGTGTGTTCAGTGTATCGTTACCCGGAATAGTTGGCTCCATAGAATACCAAGGTTAAGGCTTTCAAATGAACAGTCACACGATGATAGTGCATAAGAAAGATAGAAACGTCCTTTTATGTGAGTGAGTATAGTTTGACGCCGCTTTTAGCAATATTTCCGCAATATCACGGCGGGGGACACCAGAAATTGGCTTCACACATTGTACCCAAGTGCGGCATCAAACCCGGGTCTTCGGCGTGACAAGCGGACTCTTTAACCACTAGCCTACCCCACCGTCCCTTTCTATATATATACACATGTACTGAATTATATATGACAGTGAGGGACAACGCTTTTGGGTAAGGTAGGTGGGGAGGGCGGGGTTGGATGGTTACTTCAGAATACGTTGTACCCCCACAACTGATATATACCAATACTGACCAGCAAGAGAAACGCCATTCAAGAAATCAAAACTCACACTGAATCTCGATTCGTCTGAAAAGATGACATCATCCCACCTTCGTTGTCCAGAACAGAACAGAACAGAACGTTTACTACGCTCAGGCTGGGGTACTCGACATAACAGGTACAAATAAATATACAGTTGAGAATACATAGGATGGCAGGATGGTTTACAAGGAAGATTGTACAGTTTTCATGACAGTACTACAAAATATACGTTTATATATATGTTTTTGGAAACACTAATTCGTTTACAGTTGAACAATTCGTTAAATCTTAAAACATTGGGTTTTTCAACATAATGGTTTGGGATATAAGTTTTCCTATGATGTTTGAAGAAAGGGCAGAGAAAAAAGTAGTGAAATTCATCGCCAACATCCCACTTGTAGCAGAGGTTACACATTCTTTCTTCGAGTGGAATTTACTTCTATATGTAAACGATGGCAGGAAGTTGTAAACAAGAGAAATTTAAGAGCCAAGGAGGAAGGGATATATGTGAGATAATTTTCAAAGACAAGTTCAGATTTGAATACGCGATACACGGTACCCTTAGAAGAATTCGAAATCTCTTAGCGCCATGTTTGGGTTGCTATATCATCTAAGCCTAAGGAGATAATAGTTTTAATTTCATTGAGAAAAACAGCTTGTTGACTTACCCAGCAGATGCTATAGCCTGTTTCATTAAAAACGGCTTCCACGGATTTGATCTATTTTTTGTTGCTATTGTTTATGCAGGCTTCATTATATAACATTTGGTATACAGTTGTCGACAGCTTTTGTTCTTTACCAGATAGGAGTCTATCCCAGAAATATACGATGCGACATTTGATAGAGTTATTTAGGTGTACCCTTCCATGTTCTCCTTTTTGCATTATAATGGCGTGCTTCTCTTAACGGGAATGAATTTGCGTAAAAGGTTTACATGAACGGATTCTATAGATTTACAGTTTTCAAAACCCCATATTTCGCAGGCGTATAACAGAATTGGCTTAACCATGGTGCCCTCGATTTGTCACCCAACGGCGCCGTTCCAGTCGATGTCTGTTGGTGAGAATGGGTCCACGGTAAGGTCGACGGCAATGTAAGCCTGCCGCTAGGAGTCGTCAACGCACAGTTCTTTCGCAGTGCTTACTGCCGCCTGCAGACGGTTCCGGAGGTGCTGAAGTTGGATCACCCGGTCCTGTCTTTGTGACGTCACACAAGGTGTACCGGAACGGGGGCGATCAGAAACGCTGCCAGTTGCCACTACCCGTTGCTGCAGACGAGTTATTGTCGAAGGGTGCACCTGAAAATACCGGTCTACACGAACTTGTCGAACTCCAGCATTCAGCATGCCTATTGCTTGGTGTCTCTCCATTTCACGTACACGTGGCATGTTGCGGTGAAATGACAGCATTACGACACTGCCTGCATTTGTAGCCATAACGTCCCCACTCTGCACGTGTGTCATGCATTTCATCCTTGCTTGTTTCTCCCTAAAAATGGATTCGAACACCATCCTGCATGGTGAATGCTTTATGATCACCACACCATACTTGTTTTAAAGTAGCAAATCCAAACCCAATTTTCATGAATTCTGAGTTGCGTTTTTATTGCTGGTCAGTATATATAGACCTATACAAACGTTAAGCAATACTTATATGTTTTTAGATGTCATGTCTTTATTATAACTATTCTCCTTTAAGGAAGTAAATTCGGGGAAATTGAATCCGAGACCAGCCTTTAAGGAAGAGTTTATAATGAGTGAATGTGAGCAATATCACGACGGGGGACACCCGAAATGGGCTTCAGACATTGTACCCATGTGGGGAATCGAACTCAGGTGTTCGGCGTGAAGAGTTTATACCCTTAAGAGACACTATTATTGAGATCATATGCAAAACCTTTCACACCCATAAATAGAGTGAAAACTAAATATCTATGTTATAAGCTTACATGAGAAGTTAGATGTAAATTACTGAAAACTGGGGAGCTATCTACTTGACGTCTCCTTTCCTGTGTATGTTTCAGTCCAACAATTCATTTCTCTTATATAACCATCACGATACATTTGAACAGCCTGAGAACAGACATTTGCTCTAAATGAACCACATTATATTTCGTTCCACCTAACCCTAACTGTAATGGGAAAAGTTTTAAATATAACATGCCCTGGGTTTCCAGAGGTTCGGGTATCACCTATCTATAAAAGAAAGTCATTTGCTCTAAAAACTGTCACATATCGTTTTACCAATTTCTAATAATTTATTTCTACTTCAAAGGTATGCAATTATACGAGCAATTCGTTAAGCATATATTTTTCATTTAACATTTTGCATTTACTTATCTACACAATTATAACTTTCAGATAGAGGATACCCTAATAACCGGTGAGTAGCTGCTATCCAGATGGTAAGGCTGTTGGGTAGACAGTTGGCAGTATCTGCTATCCTTCAGGGCTACTATGTAAACAGTTGGCAGTATCTGCTATCCAGATGGTAAGGCTATTGGGTAAACAGTTGGCAGTATCTGCAATCCTTCAAGGCTTTTGGGTAAACAGTTCATCACCAACACAATTTGACTGGCTATATCACTAATCAATAGCTGTGTGATATCGAGCCCAATCTAAATCAATGAGGCACAGTCAATGAGCTGCTGGACAGTTATTACTCTTCCAGGCAAATGTTTCAAGGGCGTGAACTACCTGTATTTTCGTGAACACCTGGTGTCTTCACTGATTTTCTCAGTGGTTCATTCATATCATTTTGACAGCTATTTTGTGATTTGCAACACTCTGAGGAAAGCGGACTGTTTTTATAAATATTCCTTGATTCCAACCACTTTCTACATTTCTTTCCCCCAGCGTTGTCACATACATCCTTGACGCAGAATCAGACGGGGGCTACCAGGAGATAGAAGGTTGGTGTTGTACGTCATCGTAGACCCTTAAACGTCACATACATTAGTTCAGATAAACAGGTCATAGCGAATGATTAAATGGGCAATGTTATGTACCATGTCTAAAAACAGTCTTGGAACTTTAGCTGTCAACATAGAAAAACTAAAGGCCTATCATAACTATTAGCTCCGAGTGACCTTGGGCGTTGGGGTAGCCCAGTGGTTAAAGCGTTAAAGCCGAAGGCCCGGGTTCGATTCCTGACATGGGATCAATGTGTCAGGCCCATTTCTTGTGTCCCCTGTCGTGATATTGCTGTAACATTGCTAAAAGTCGCGGAAAACCCAACTCACTCACTCACTGACTGACCTTCTCTTGAAACTTGTATCGGATGCTGTCCATATATCGCGTCTACGGTGCTAGATCAGTGCACTATATTCAAACATGTACGGGTATGTGATCAATGCACAATAATACAGGCATCTGTGATTAACCTTGCAGTTTGTATGCATAATTAACTGCTGAACATTGTCACTTTCAGAGAGAGGATACGTTCATCAGCGGTGAGTATCTTCATCAATCTTCAAGTAGGATGAATAAATATTTCATCTCACACAGTAATACATAGCTGAAGATCTGATATAGAATTGATCCTCAGCAACCCATGGTTGTCGTAAAAGTTGACAAACGGGATACGATGGTCAGGCTCGCTGACTTGGTTGACTCATATCATCGTATCCCAATTGCGTAGATCGATGCTTATGCTGTTGAGCACTGGATTGTCTGGTCCAGACTCGATTGTTTACAGACCGCCGCCATATAGCTGGAATATTGATGAGTGTTGCGTCAAACAACAAACAAACCGACATAGTTATCAGAGCAAAACTATGCACGATTCAGAGCGATGTAAATTGAGAGTGCATCACAGCTTTATAATTTCCTTTCATTTTTATCAGCTTGGTTTCTTATCACAGGGAAGACGAAAACGACGGGAGCTACCAGGAAATAGAAGGTTGGTGTCTAAAGGTTAACTACAAGCATGATGTGTAACGGCTGTGAAACTTGAACTGTGAGTGTATGGTACTGATATGTCGATTGAATGTAGCTCGAACTATCTCCCGTCTGAAGCCCTGAAGCCTCGAATAGGAGTCGTGTCTAAAACCAATATACATTGAATATAAGTCAAATCGTCAAGGTTACGGTGTAATATTTCAAGGAAAGGGAAAAATACCGATTATATGATTTAAAATACCCATCATAGAATAGTTAATCTACTGTAAATAAACATTTCGTCAGTCAAATTCGTTTATATTATATATATGATACTTATGATACTTCTTAATTTCCATGTACATAACCAGGATTCAGTGATATGCCTTGTTGGGGAAACAGATCCACTGGCCTGGACAGCTGTAACGGTCATACTTCCCGTCATACATCAAGAATGATTCTTCCATCTTCATTGCTTGCTTCCTTTGTTGCGTTATGCGATGTAGACAGGGTTCCAGTAGCATATAAACAATCGTAGTTTCTTTGAAAAAGTAGACACAAATAGTATTTCCTCCTAATGTCCTCAAACCAGTATCTATGCACTGAAAGGAATAAGGAATATTAACGACGAATCTTTTATGTTTCAAATACTATGTAGACAGGACTCTTTTAGCTTATAAAAAGGATCGATGTTTCATTCAAAAAAGACACACAAAAAAACCCAGAACTTCCTCTATTTCCTCCTTATGTTTTAAAGCCAATATATGCATTAAAACGAACAAGGCATATTAACAGAACATTTCTTTTCATTCAAATACGTCTCTGCGTTTTCATATAAATTATCATACTAATTACATATGTGTTAACTGTGTTTTATATCAGAAGGGGATGCAAACATAGACGACATCGTCCCCATCGTAGCGGTCTACTCCATTATGCTCACTGCTGTGGCAGTTGTGGTGGCAGCTGTTACTGTTCTTGTCTGCAAGGACGTAAAAGGTACGATGAATATATGAATCTTTTTGAATGCAATGTAAGTTACAATCCCTCCTCAGGTCAGAGCTGGTCTTCTACAACCTATTTGCAAGCTCGTCATAACAAGTGAGAAACGCTGGCTGATTATGGCCATCCATGTATACCCCCGTATCCCAATTTCGTAAATCGATGCTCATTATATCAATCACTGGGTTTTCTTGTCAAGTCTTGATTATTTCAGACAATCGTAATATAGCTGGAATATTGCTGCATGCAGCGTTAAACAGCAAACAGGCATGTCTGTAGTTCACCTTCATATGCTGAAATCTTTTTTTTTCCATTATATTTTGTAAACGCCGTTTTGATTCAGTAATTTGGGCAGTCGGGAGCCAAGTGGTTAAGGCGTTCACGCCAAAGACCTAGGTTCGATTCCCCACATGGGTACAATGTGTGAAGCCCTATTTATGGTGTTCTGGTTTTGGTGATATTGATGGACTGTGCTAACTGACTGACTGACTGATTTTGGTTTTACGCCGCTTTTAGCAATATTCCAGCAACATCACGGCGGGGGACACCAGAAATGGGCTTCACACATTGTACCCATGTGGGGATTCGAACCCGGGCCTTTGGCGTGACGAGCCAACGCTTTAACCATTAGGCTACCCCACCGTCCCTGACTGTACTAACAGCGACTCCGTCACTAACTGTTATTCAGTAAATGGAAACGTCCGTTTAGAAATTTACAAGTTTGTCTTTTGCTTTATTTGCAGAAAACCAGGACAGAAGGTACATAAGTTTATTGTTTCAACTTAAGTGCTGGAGCTAGGTATGGTAATAACCAGTTAACAAACCCTCATATATGTGTCCAGTTGCAATCTCCTGTGTTAAACACCATTTACTCAACTAACCCAAGAAAACTAGACCCTAACTGAATAAACGAAGCCCGTATAGATTATCTGTGGAAATGACGGAGAAAGTAGCTATAGCCATTGGATCTATGTAACAAATGTACGATGTGTTAAGAGAGGATTGCAATCTATGATCACTGTCTTTTTTAGGATTTCCAATCCATTTATGATTTCTATTCCACGCTGCATGAAAGCAACATACATACACTTCTGTGCAAGACAACTTTATGTGCAATGTAAGTGTAATGTTGTAATTACAGATGTGGTGAATATCTTACTGTGATGGCAGACAGATTGTCCCGTGACTTCAGTGATGTACCTTGTGCTTCCAACAACGACGGGGATGTCTTACCCCTACATGATTACGAGCGACTCCTGAGGGAACAGTTCCACATCTACACGTCTCTCCACCCTTCAACTTCCTAACTGAGGACCACAGCACAAGGTGAAGCTAAAACTGACGGTACAGTTCCTCATCTACGTCTCTCCACTCTTCATCGTCCCCCACAGAGGACCACAGCACCAGGTGAAGCCTATACTGACGATACTGTTCCTCATCTACACGTCTCTCAACCCTTCATCGTCCCCCACAGAGGACCACAGTACCAGGTGAAGCCTAATCTGACGGTACAGTTCCTCATCTACACGTCTATCCACCCTTCATCGTCACCCACAGAGTACCACAGTACAAGGTGAAGCCTAATCTGACGATACAGTTCCTCATCTACACGTCTCTCCACCCTTCATTCTCCTCTACAGAGGACCACGACACCAGTAGGGCATGAACTGATGGTACAGTTCCTCATCTATACGTCTCTCCACCCTTCATCGTCCCCAACAGACGACCACGGGACCACAGAACGGGGTGCAGCCTCAAGTGAGGCAACAGTTTATGCATACGATATTGTCTTTGTACCTTTCTACAGATGATATTGTGTTTATAGTTTTATGCAGACGATGTTTTCTTTTTCGCTGTAGGCTGACCATATTTTCTTTAAAGATTTATGCTGACGATATTTTCTTTGTCGTTTAATGCAAACGATATTTTCTTTGTCATTTTATGCAGGCAATATTTTCTTTGTCATTTTATGCAGACGGTATTTTCTCTGTCGTTTTATGCAGACAATATTTTCTTTGTTGTTGTAAGCAGACGATATTTGCTTTGTCACTTTATGCAGACGATATTTTCTTTGTCACTTTATGCAGACGATGTTTTCTTTGTCGATTTATGCAGACGATGTTTTCTTTGTCGTTTGACGCAGACGATATTTTCTTTGTCGCGTTATGCAGATGATATCTTCTTTGTCACGTTATGCAGACGATATTTTCTATGTCGCTTTATGCAGACGACATTTTCTTTGTTGCTTTATGCAGATGATGTTTTCTTTGTCACTTTATGCAGATGATATTTTATTTGTCACTTTATGCAGACGATATTTACTTTGTCACTTTATGCAAGTGATATTGTCTTTGTACCTCCAGACGAACAATCCTTACATCCTTACAAGACTGTGTACCTCGCTGGTGTGACAGTGGCTAATATTGATTACTGTTAAACAGACATTTGTAATAGCATGTTAATATAAACATTCTAAAGTGAAAAATAGTGGCTTTACTTTGTATTATATGTTATCTGAGGTTGTGTTATGACATCTTAATAAACTTATTATTATGATTATTTTTTTGTCTTCTTCTTGCATTGATCCTTCCGTAAACCTTACCAGGAACATATGATCGTGTGTTCAAACCCCAAAATGGTTGCATTTTCATTCAGTTGTTCGCCCCACAAGCGTTTGAGTGAGTGAGTTAAAAGTTTACATACGATGGACAATAGTGCAACCATTTCGCGATGAGAATAATTTAGGTATATATTCTGTTCAAGTCCCACTATTCATAAGTCTAATACGATCATGTCAATTGTCAATCCATATACAGTTATAAAACCTATCTATTTATATACACAGTTCAATGAATCTTAGAGATTCAGTCCTATGCCAATAATATCATATTTACTTTTCGCATTATTTGTAAATTAACTTATTGTCTTATTCATTTAATATACACATGAATGTATCGCTCTGTAATCCTGAAATGTAGGCCTATGGCCTCCACTACAAAAGAAATAAAGATTGATGATATTATCATTGCATATTTGTGGACAAAATACAGTAAAACAGTGAGGTACGTATCACAGTTTAGTTTTACCACAACGGCTACCGAATGATTGTTCTGCCCAACATTGTTACTTATGCCACTATCGTGCACGTGCATTTTGACCAGTGTCCAACAACTACGGGCGAAGTTTTCGGACACCTTCGTGTTTACTGGGAGCATGTTATATTTGGGCGAATGTTTTCTGCTTGGGTGTTTATGCAATTGCCTTAAAAGTGGTAACTTTCTATTGCAAGATAGTTTTTTCCTTGAACGGCATTTAGAAGACTGCATGACACGCTGACCATGCGACCTGTGACAAAGGTACTGGAATTGCTGATGTAGGATTTTCCTTCTTTTCCCAATGGTGCTAGTAGTTTGGCAAGATGCTGGGCTGTGTTGTAGCAGACTGAGCCCCTGGAGCATACACGTGTTCTGACTTTAACTGGATCTTTATGTGTGCCCCAGTGTGTACTTCAGTGTGCTATAATCATTGGCTTCGCCTTACTATTCTGACGTTTCTCCAGTTTCGGGTAAATCTTGTATTGAAAGATTAAAGATAATAAAATGGATGTTACTAGTTAGCTACAAAATACATCTGGGGTACTCGATTTGCTGACATTTTCACGGCCAAGTTACAGGCGAATCTATCTCAGCTGTTGAAAGTATATATACTCTCCCCAAAAAGAAATGCATCAAGAAAATACCAATTTCATGTAGCAATGAATTAAAACGTGATTCATTTCACAAAAGGTTTTGCTTTGTTTATGAGTCCTATGGTGTTTATGTTTTGACACATCACAACAAAACGCACCATCCGTAAAATACCCGTATTTAACAGCATGGTTTTCAATTTCGGCGTGTAGTGTCACAGAATACACAATTCACATGCAATGCACATGAAAGTTGGGGATCAGATAGTCTCAATGATGGGTATAAAAGGTTGATCGCTGTCTGTCGATTATTCACTGTATTTGGAATATTGTTGACGAACGCAAAATGACACGTCTAAGTGAAGCCAACCGTCATATCGCCATTGGTTTGCTTGAAGCTGGTCAGTCTCAACGTGCAGTTGCCCGACGCATGAATGTTCACCAAAGCACCATTTCACGGCTCTGGGAGAGGTATCGCCGGCAGAATACGGGAACAGATGCCCCTCGTAGTGGGCGACCTCGAGCGACCACTGCGCTGCAGGATCGCTACATCCGGGTACATCACCTGCGTCATCGAACAGCTACGGCGACCAGTACCGCTCGACAAATACCTGGATTGAGGAAGCTTTCTGCACAGACCGTCAGGAACAGGTTGAGAGAGGCTGGTTTCCGTGCCAGAAGACCTTATTTTGGTCCTGTGCTTCGACAACAACATCGTCGACATCGAGTTCAATGGTGCACCAACGTTCAGGCCTGGACCCTACTGAATTGGCGTAGAATCTGGTTCAGCAATGAATCACGATTCCTATTGGAACGATGCGATGGAAGAATGCGGGTGTACAGACGTCGACGTGTACATTTCGCCGACACTTGCGTTCCCCAGGTGGACAGATTCGGCCAGGGCAGTGTTGTGATGTGAGGAGCGATCACCTGCCGTAGGAGAAGTGAGTTGGTGATGATCAGGGCAACCTGACAGCTCAACGGTACTGTGACAAAATCCTACGCCCACACCTCCTTCCAATCATTGATCGCCAGAGGGAGTTGTTTCAACAGGACAATGCCAGGCCCCACACAGCACGTCACACTAGAGACTTCCTCCAGAACCACAACATCAATGTGCTCCCCTTGCCCTCAAGATCACAGGACTTAAACCTGATCGAACATCTGTGGGATGCCCTGGACAGACGGGTGCGACGCCGTAACCCTCAGCCCCAGACACTTCAGCAACTCGCACAGGCACTACAGGCAGATTGGGCTGCGATTCGGCAACACGAGATTCTGAGACTTATTCGTTCGATGCCGAGGCGATGCCGTGCAGTTCTGGATGCCCACGGTGGTCACACGAGGTATTGACTTCAGCGCCACCACACGTCTCCATGTGACACTCAAACTGACTTTCCTCGAGTTGTTGCCAAAGACGGATAAGTCTGCATTCCCAGTGTGCAATTTCGCTATATTTCATTGACTCATAAAGCCTACAAGATGTTTCAAAATAAACATAAAAATACAGTTGAAATTCCTATATGCGTTTCTTTTTTGGGAGAGTATATAATCTGATTAAGATCCATTTTGATATGGCCACCTTTAGGAATTGTCACACGTCATGCTCTTGATATATTCCTTGTGATACTCATGTTAGTGAATATAAAACATTGAACTCATAATGGAAAGATGTCTGTAATAAGAAGAGAGTAGATAATGAGAATAGTATAAGAGATAAAACTTCAGGATGTCAGTTAATTTAAATACTTGAGATCTGTTGAAGGAATTGTAAAACTAAACAATTATTTGATCTAACGACTGGCTTAAATATGTTGAAAATGCGGTAATCAGTCTACTAATCTGAGAGAGAAAATAACTAGAAACTTGAGTGAAAACAATGCCTGAAAATATGGTGACCATAACAACGCCACTATTGTGAATATTGTCACCAAATTGTCAGTTATTATTTGTTGTGATTGTGTGAGTCGACACTGACGACCACGTCAGTACCTAGTGTAGCCATCCCTCGAACGAAAAACATCTGCCCATGCCCTCCTAAAAGTTGTTCCATGGGGTTCATACCTGGCTGCTTACAGATCCCCCATGTCCGAGAAAATCCTACACTATCCTTCGATTACGACTGAATTCAAATGACATAAACGTCACATAGCACATGTTCAGAACGATAATAATGACGTCACACTGTTAATTAATTTCACTTGGGAAGGAATGATTTACAGTTGCAACGGCATGGTTTTTGAGAAGTTGTTTCATCTTATCTTGTTTACATCATGATTTTTGCCTCGAAAATGCACAAATATGACTGAAACGTTTTTTGTGTGGAGGGTTACACATAGTATGTGTAGTGAGTAGTAAGTCTAATGACGTCACTCATTCATAACGTTGGGTTATGTATCAATGCGCCGATACAATGAGAAAGGACGAAATATGCATCGATTTGATCCCAAAGTGGTAAGATTTTAGGGTGTGTAAGAAACAGATTACTGTACTCGTTGTAAGATAAATGGAGTCTGACAAACACTCGTTTAGTTTCTTTTGAGATCCGGGTTAGAATTGATCTTCAGCAACCCATGCTTGTCGTAAGAGGCGGGATCGGTTGAGATATGTCATCGTATTCAAATTGCGAAGATCGATGCTGCTGATGTTGATCACTGGATTGTCTGATCATTTACAGACTGGAATGGCTGGAATATTGCAAAGGGCGACGTTAAAGAAAGAAAACTTGGTGTGATGTCAATAGTAACGATTACATCTTGATGTGCAGTGCAAAAGAGTAAATACGGGTACATATGAGAGTGATTG